ACACACACACACACACACACACACACACACACACACACACACACACAGCTGTCAGGCTGTAAAGAGTTCAAGTTTCTAGCATCTGAAATTGCCAAGACTGTCCGCTTATTAAATTATACAGTTGTGTGTAAGTCTTAAAAGAAGACTGAACAATACAGTGCCGATTCATAGCTGCTTTCTTACTGCTTCTCGTTCATTCTCTGGCTGGTCAAGCCTAGACTTGATAACTGGCAATCATACCTAGCAGAAAACGCTTTTACTAAAAATCCAGCTACCCACTGCAGATCTCACCCTAAACCGTAACTAAATGGAAACAGCCAGGCACTCCAGCCTGGGTCTCCGCTCGGCCACTTTGTTTACTTGGAGTGAACCATGTGACCCAGACCTTTAACTTGAATCTTTCACAAGAACTATTTACTAAAGTCCAACTGCTCTACGTGCAGACAGAAAAGTTAAGACTGGATCCTCACTTGGGAAATATTTTTTCAAGCAAAATATACATGGGCCAAGAGGTTTTTAAAAGACTACCACAGATTTTCATAGTGGCCAACTGCTCCCTGCCTAAACAAGGCACACTTGGAGTATGGCTGCAATGCCAGGGCTGCCTTCCCCGCCAGGAGCTGGGCTCTTCAACAGCAATGGGCACTTGTCTCTTTTTGAACTATATGTCTTGCCATACAGTCATACAACCTGAGAGGGAACATTGGCTGGTATCTGCCACATAAAGTTATTTTTGCTTTTTTTTTTTTTTTTTTTTTTGGAAATTGCATTTACCAAGAAAATATGCATGATGGCTGACAGATAGTCCTACCTTATAAATTGCTGGCAGACAGATCTCTTGAGTCCACATGCCATTGGGGCATTCATTGGAATGCACACACTGATTGTGACACCAGCCACACCGTACAAAGAAAGGCGCAGAGAGACACTGACTGCAGGACTGGAAATGCCCACAGCCCAGGCCATTCAGTGGAATCTTGGTGATCTGCAAAGAAAAGGGACAGAAAGAGCTTCTAGAGGGGTTTGGGTTTGTGAAAAGTGAACTTGTAAAGGTTACATATAAATAGCAGTTGACAGCATCTAATAGAGATCGCATCTATGCGAAAATCCCATAATAATGGTTTTAGGTGATTTTTAAAAAGTCAAACTCTTTCTTTTACTGTTGGCACATACATGATAAGGAGTGCACCTGAGATGGCCGCTACTTAGAAGGCTGAGGCAGGGCTGTGAACACCAGGAAAACATGAGCAGGACAAAGTAACCTCCTTCCCCCACCAACCATAACATCACTGTCCTGGTCCAGAATCACTGTCCTACAATGCCAGAAATTCTACAGAGTAGAGACATGTGGACCATCTGAGATGGTCTCAGAATAACAGGAGAGACTAAAATAAGCTTCAGGGGAAACACTGGAATCCCTGGAAAGTTGTACGTAAGGTTGCATACCATTCGGGTATCAACAAGTACATCTTCCTTTAGAGAAGAAAAGGGATTACTGGCTGGAGGGTCAAATTCCAGTGTGTGTGTCTCCAGGATTTATCTGTCTGCTCTGGGGTTCTGCTGTTAGGACTGTAATTTGCATTCTATATGGTTTTTTGTTTGTTTGTTTTTGCTTTCACTGAGAAACAGGACTGAAGGAGAAGTGCACATTCTGAAGAAGACCTCTCAGACCTAGTGTCCCTTGAATAGGAGATAGCGCTACTTCAGAAACTCTCTGGAAGACTCAAGAAAGAACTAAATGGAAAGGTATTAATCTCAGGCTCAGAGCGGGGTTATTACAACAACAACAACATACACACACACACACAATATCCATTCAAGAAGAACCTTATCCATGAACATTCCCATGGAATATAGGTCTTACCTTCTTCCCTGTGACAACCAAAGTGTAGCCATTTTGGTTTGAAGGATGTTCAACAATGACTTCTGGAGATACAGGATGGGAATCCAGGAGAAAGTTCACATAAGGGGTGAAAAGTGATGTTCGGGAGAGCACGACCTGAGTAACAAAACAAACACTCTTATTCCAACAGACTCGCTTTAGGCACAGGAGCGTGCCCCAGGGTTCCAGCTAAAGACCCACAGTTCGCCCTGTTAAAAACCAGTACGACATCGTCTCATCTCCTGCCTTGAAGCCAGGAACCCTCATGTTTTGCCTGTGGTCTCAAGGAGTTTCTGGAGAAAGAGATCGTCCAATCAATCAGCCAGCCCAGAAAAACCAATCCTTACAAGTCCATGGGGAACTGGAGGAGCCAAGTCTCCCCAGGAGGAAGACACTTCATACTACACAGTTCCTGGATTCTTCTGTAATCTGTCCTTTCAATTCTCCCTTTGGAGCACTTTCCCTTGATGTTATATTCAGAGTAGAGGATAGGAAGTCTGGAAACCTGGGGTTGATTCCAGCTTTGTTACCCTGAAGCTGTATTTATGGATCTTCTGAGGTTGGAATAGACTTTGGCCATTTGAATTGAATGTTGGTTTTATACATATACATGCATACACACATACACACATACATATGTACATACATACACACAGATACTGTCTAATGATATGCTTTTACTTATATTACAAATAAAGTTCCATATTTTGTCCTGGCTTTAAAAATAAGGTCTGGTGGCTTTAACAACACGTGAATGACATATTTGGAGAGATGGTGTTATTCTTGCTCTCGGTAATTTGTCATTAGGGATAGTGCCCAGCAATACAATTTTCCTCCTTCCTATTTCTAGAATCCAGTGACAATGAACCATCAGAGACAGACCCCTGGAGAGATAAGATCAGGGCTGTTATCTTAGCTGATTGCAGACTTTAGGAGGGTTTGGGTATGCTCAGAGAGTTTTTTAAGTAGGTCATCAGTTTGCACAAGGGGCTGTGCAGCAAGAAGATGATTCAGCCTTAGGCTTCACATCTACTGTGAAACTGCCCAACATTTCCAAGAAACTTGTGTTTTCCAAAAAAGTTGTATTTTCAAAGGGCACTGGTTTGCCATATGGAGTCCTGGGACAACCATGGGTCCCCTGAATTTAGAATGAAAACATAACACAACAACAACAAAAGGCAATCCAAACCACTCCCTTGACCATAGTTTTCTCACTCACAAAACAGGAGTGCAGGTGAAAGTAGTGACTCAGTGCTTTTTACTCAAATACATGCAAGATAAACATATTCTGAGGAAAAAATGGGCATTTTTTTTCCTTCTTCAACACAACAAAGAAGCCAAGTAGCCTGAAAACAATTTAGGAAGATTTCCAAGAGCTTAATTTGTACTCACGGGGTGAACCATTAGTAGAAAAACTAACCTAATGCACACTGAGCCATAAAGGTTAAACCTCATGACATTTTTGCACTACCCCAAACACTCAACAGGTTCAAAACACCTCCCTTAATTGGAGTGGCTATATTTTCACAGAAGTTAAATGATGGCTCAAGGGTCATGTGGTCAGAATGGAAATTACTGTTACTTCCTACATTTAGGGTCCAATACACATTTGTGACCTCAGTGGGCAAAGTAGAGTTCAATTTCCAGGCTCCTACCTGCTCCCCTGGGGTGCTCACCTATCAGACACTGAAGAGCTCAAACCTCTAGAGTATGTGACCTGGATTTAGCCATTCAGTTTTGCAATCTTAAACCTCTCTTGGTGTTTAGCTCTTCTCATTCTTTGTACTTCTGCAACCCATGGCTTCACCTTCACTTTGAATACAAAGACTTAGAAACAAACAAACAACAAACAAACAAACTCTCCTTTTCTCACACATAAGTCAAAACCAAGCATAAACATCAGTATGCTGGCTAGTTTTAGGTAAAACTGACACACAAACTAGAGGTATCTGAAAGAAGGCAACCTAGGTTGAGAAAATAACCTGCCTAAGATCTGGCTGAGAGGCATTTTCTTAGTTAGTCATAGGTGGGGGAAGGCCCAGGCCGGGGGGGGGGGGGGCGTAGTTCCTCCCCTGGGTTGCTGGTCCTTGGTTTTATAAGAAAGCAGGCTGAGCAAACCATGGCTTCCACATCAGTTCCTGCCTCCAGGTTCCTGCTCTGAGTTCCTGTCCTGACTCCCTTAGACAATGAAGAGAGAAATGGAAGCGTAAACCAAAAAAAAACAAAAAACAAAAACAAAAACAAAAACAAAAACCTTTTCTCTCCAACTTGCTTTTTTGGTCATGGTGTTTTGTGCAGCAATAAAACCCAAACTGGGATACATCAGCTTGTCTTAATACTCAGTTTTCTGTGATTTTTCACCTCTTTGATGATTATGGATCAACTCTTGGATATTTGCATTTTGCACCTGTCTTTTTGGTTTCTTCCACACTCCTTAGACCTCTTACATGACAATGATCATCTCCCAGAACTCTTTGAAATAATACGTTTCGCTTTCTTTCTACTGCTGCCACGTGATACATCAGGACTGGAGCTGCTAAGCCTTCTGGCAATTCTATCTATAACTTTCTTGCTCGGTTTAGAATTTCTCGTATCTATAATAAGCAATCCCTCCTTAATTAGTAGACGGTTATCTCCGACTTTATCACATATCTGATTATATATGCTTCCCAGGAACGATTAACCTTTCCCTTTGTTTTCATAAGAAGGCTCTTTGCATGCCTGGGCTTGGGCTGATTGACTTGTTTTTGCCTTCTCATGGTTTCCAGCTGGAGACACCACACACACGGCATCCTCTCATAGGTAACTGAGTCAGGCGCTATGCTTAGGAAGAGGTCGTGGTATCTCTTCACAATGATTCTGGACGTTACATACTGTTTTTGCTTTCAATAGAATCCAAGGGAGAACTTAGCTAGAAAGTGCAGGTTTTCCTAGAGACTTTACCTAATGCCAGAATCCGTGTGCTTGACTACCTCTTAAACACCCAGTTGCTTGGCTCGTGGAGCCCTAGAGTACGAACCAATATGAAGCTTCAAGTCAGAAGTCTCAAAGAGCACTAGGGAGCTGAAGATAGAGGAGCTTTCACAACACATCTGCTTGCCAGTTCGTCCTTGCTTCAGTAACCTTGGTTGCATGAATGAAGGGCGCCTAAAGAGAAGGCTTCTCTGTTTGAATGAGCACTGATAGAACAAATGATACCCTACTAGCCCGGCTAGCAATGCTACTGGGCTAGAACGGGTGCTACAGAGAGCGGGCAGCAGGAGAAGGCGGGAAGGCCATGAGAACAGCGGGATGCATCTTTGCCTTTGCACTGATGAGCATCCTTATCACAGATGCAAATACCTTTTCCGTTCATCATTAGCCTTTTCTCTGCAGGAACATCCACTGTATGGAAATGCCAAGAATGCTTTTTCTATCATTAATCCCTCCCTTTCTCTCATTGCCAGAATCCTAAATAATTGAGTAACCACTAAAATCCTCAAAATACCCCTGAAGCAATGCTTGCAAGAATTAGGAGTTGCTTTTTGTTGTCATGGAGATATTTCTAAGGACAGAACAGAATTTGGCATGTAAGTTTAATTCTTATGATAAATCACTTGGCAATCTGAGAACAATTAGTATGAAATAGAAGACTAGCAATATCTTTTGAGTTTCTACAGTGTCCATGACTAATCTTTAGTATTTAGACCACAGAACCTTTTTCTTTAGTGATCCTGAAAATATAGGCCTAATGCATTGTTTGGGGGGTGGGGAGAAGGAAGAATTCGAATTTACTTGCTCATTGCTGTCATTAGGCCACATAAACTCTCTCAATAAGGAATCTGAGAAAGGATGTAGGAAAAATACATGAACATATAAATAAAACAGTGTGGTTTCACCTGGAAACTTTGTAAATGTGAACAAAATAATTTTCTTGTGGTATTTTATAATTCAAAAAGACCAAACTTCCCTGCCATATACAGTTTTTATTTTCAAGTAGATAGCTCTACAATTTAATGTTGTTTAAAAACATAGGCACGCAAGTTAACACAAAATAAATCTATGTTGCTATCCACTTCATTAAATGTTTCTGTCTCTCTTTTTAAAGTAGACCGTTCAATAGTTTCATGTGAGAAGTGGCTGAGGAGATAGAGGAAGGGGGAGAGAAGGAGGAGGAAGAGAAGGGGGAAAAGAGGAGAGGGGTGGTGGTGGTGGTTATAGGGTCAGTAGGAATTTTAGGGATCACTCAAGTCTCTCCAAGAATATTAAATGTCCTTAGTCTATAGCAAGCCTGATTAAACTACTTGTGTGGCTGTCCTCTGATGACTTCAGGGACCTTTCCCTGTTCTTCAGAGAACCCACTGTCACCCATGCTGTTCTGATCTAACCACGCCGCCACCTCCTCTGTCGCACACCCTTCCCCATGTGGTTTACATACGGATGTCGGGGAAGTGTGCTTCATCTCCCACTCTGGCTGTTTCTCCCGTTAGAATCCCCTCCTGCGCCTTTCATTCCCACAGCTTCCAGCCTGCACTATAGAGCCCTAGTTTCTAGAGTATATGTAGATTCATGCAATCATCACTAGCACCAACCTTGAAATACTTTTAGTCACTTAAAAAAAAAACCAATATCTCGCAACAATTATTGTCTAATCTCCATGGCCTCTGATAACTACTAATCTACTTTCTATCTCTCTCTATTTTCCTCTTCTAAACATTCTATATAGATGGAATCTGACACTATCTGGCCTTTGTGTTTGGCATTTTCTACTTAGTATATGTTTTTAAGATTCATCCATGCTCCTTTCTATTGCCAAACAATACTATGCTCTATTTACAGATCACTGTCTATGCACTTAAGCATCACTTGATGGACATATCAGTTGCTTCTACATTTTGCCTCTGAATTTGCACCTATGTGAAACTTCCTGTGTGAACATATACTGTCATTTCTCCTATGTGTTGAATCTAAGATAAGGATTGTCTTTTACCTTACAGTAACCCTATCTTTAACTTTTTGAGGGACTTTTAAGTTATTTCCCAGTGTCTGTACTACCATACATTCCCACAACTTAGGTTTTTGATTTCTATTTTCTTTTCTTCTTTCTTTTTTTAATTTTAGACAGGGTCTCTCTACAT